ACGGGTACAATGGGTCACCAATGGTGACATCTGCGCTAGATTCTCTTCATAGGGCCGAACAAAGAGATGGTGTGATGCGGAGAGTGTTATTCCCCTACAGTTACACAAAACATCTGCTTTATCTAAAGTGAAACCATAATAAAGCATTAAAGAACAATATAACTTTTTGTGACGGCAGGTGTTAACACTCAGAGGACCATTAGGGGGCGATCACACAGAACTTGTGATTTAAAAATGATTTTGTACCAGCTGCCATTGTTTTGTTTTTTAAATTATTATTCTAGGTAAATTATTTATGGATGTAATTTTTACCTCCCCCCCCCCCCCCCCCCCCCCCCTGTGTAGTGTCTTGTTGTGCTTGTTTTGATGATTGTATGGTTTACTGGCTGTGAAAACAATAAGGGATATTAAATACCGTACCTATGTGTTTTTTTTAAGTTTTTCTGCACTAGATGTATTCCTTTGATCATTGCAAAAAATCCACCCATTATAGAAATAGGCCCAAGGCCCATTATAAAGATAAATGGTATATGGTTTTAAATCTGTCTGTAGCCTCTGGTGGTGTTTGTACAAAGATGCTGTCTGAATTCATTTTAGAGAAAATGACATGGCAAAACCAACAATTTCTGACAAATATGCCTACTAAAATATGTGCCCATAATATTTGAAAATGTTAAATATGAAAAATAATAAGCCTACGTTTAAAACAAACAATGATTTTGATGGTTCCTGAAGTTGATCCTATAGTCAAAGGTGTTAAGTTAGTATATTTATAATTAAAATTGTTCCCACATGTACCAGAGGTGGGCCGGATCTGGGCCGACACTACATGTTGCTGTCTGGGAAACGCTAGTCAATTATAAGGTCGCATTACGTCAACCTTAGATTAAAATATAGCGTAGTTTATATTTTTTTTCAGTGTTGATGTTTTTCAGTGAAAGATATACAAATACAGAATCCAAACACTTGTTCTTGATTTCAGTTTCCAGATTTCGGGTTACTTTGCCCCGTCCCTCACTGGTCCTCTCTGCTTGAGTGATGAGTTCAGCTGAATAGTTAACGTATTCAGTGTGGATATATCAGTAAGATATCTTTACTGTAGCTAAATGAGCATCAGAGAACAATCAGCTCTTTCATAGACAAAAACCTAAAGATTGTGAGCTGGGACTGTGTTATATATATGCATTACTTTGCTCAACTTTGTGGTTTTCTGCTCTTCTCTAAACTCTACCTGTAATTTTCGTCTCAGCGAGAAAAAAAAATCATCAGATTTTACAGCCTGATAACTGATCAACTGAATGTTTTTATTTGCATAACATAAATCACAGAGTCCACTGGTGTTTTTGTGACGGTAAGGCTAAATAGATATAGATTATTTCAGCGCATTCATTTTTAAGCACAGAATCCCACTGGCATCTGATAAACAATCCTAAATCGGTGCACAAAAGTTACATGTAAGCTGTGCATTGAATAGCTAATGTCATTTCATTTCTATACCCACTCGTTCACACTATCTAGAGATTTTCTGACACTTTGGGTTCTGGAAGGCCACTATTTCCTGTTCAACAAAGAGACAGAAATCTTCTTTTAATGTTTATCATAACAGTAGTTTTGTTGAGGTTAATGTGCTAAAGTGCTACTAACACTTGATGTCTTGGATTTATGAGTCCATCAAACCATGATTTACAAAATAATCTGCGTACAGTGGACAAGGAACAGCACATTGTGGGAACTGTAGCCAAACTGTTTTGTATTCTGTTGCTTCTCAGTTGACGCTTTGTTCTCACTCATGGGAACTTGGCATTGAGAACACTACTTTAGTTATCGTTACAGACCAAGGGTTCATTTGCACCCCATGCAGAGTTTCAGCACGTTTTGCACTCCTTCTGGGTCTCATATCTCCAATTATAGACATGCCACATCTGACCAAAGACCACATCGGCCTACATCTCATTCTGACACATTTTATTCGACATCTGAAGGTTTTTATTTTTTTGCAAACACGTACAGATTTTAAATGTTGTCTATATCACCCTCTGGTGGTGTCTGCCTCATAGAAACTTGCAGTAGTTTATTATATTGTCTGAGATGCTGTAATGCTCACTGAACATTTCAAGCAGATGGAGTTTAATCAATAACGTACACAGGGTTTTTAAATCTTATTGCGGACACTCATTTTAGGTGGCGTACATTGAAAGTAAACATAACCGGAAATAAGTGAGACACTATTTCCAAACGGAAGAGCGTCACGAAGCTCAGTGCAAGTGGTCCATTGGGACACAGCCTTTTTTTATAACATACGTTGTTGCATTGCAGTGAGTGATGACGTCAACCACACTAACGCCATCAGTCAGCATCAAATCTTCTGATGAAGACATTTGTATAGTATTCAAAAGCTAATTGGCAATTGGCATGGAAAGGGAGATGAGTGAAAATCAAAGTGTACGTGAAGAAAGGATTATCACTTGTCTCAGATAGGACACATAGGGCTCAACAAGACATAAATGGAATGTGTTTACATTGCAATCAAACCAATCTGTCCAACTTGTGATGATAGATTGTTATATGAAAAGGAAATGAAGGAATTGCACTAGAAAAATTAAAACTAAACTTTTTGAAAGAAACAGGTCTGATGGAACGAGTATAAAGGTTATTGCTAATTATATATATTTTTCTTCCCCTACCTTCTGCCAAATCTTCTGATCCACCCTCCCGGTCAGTAGGTGGCGGTAAAGCACATAATAAGCTGGTTTGCTAACCGCCAAAAAAACATAAGAAGAAGAAGAATCTTCTGATGAGGTAAGTAGCAGGTCATGGTGTAGCGTATATTTATATAATTATAAACTGCACAATTACCATCAAGAAGCCTTTTAAACGGGTGATTTATGTATCGGTTTCCATATGTGCGTCTTTTTTTGGCGTTTGCCGACGGAAATTGACATTTAGCAGGACACAATATGTGTTAACATCAGGATGGTTGTGTGTGTGTGTGTGTGTGTGTGTGTGTGTGTGTGTGTGTGTTTTCTTTGTTCGTGTTCTTCGATGTTTGGAGCGATAATAGGCTGTTATTGTTGCCGAATGTGACTGTGAACGCATGGAAGCGATCTTAAATGCGGACACAATTTTATTCCACCTGTATTTCGTTTACACTTACCTTTATGATCAGTAGGATGAGGTTTTATAATCATTGCCAGTTTGTGCATATACAACAGTGCAATCCTGCTCTTATTTATCTATTTGTCATCTTATATTTTATTCCCTCTTTTTGTTCATAATGGAGCGCGCGTCGCGTCACGTCACCCAAACGTCGCGCCAGCCACACGATCTCTCGCTGTTTTACTGCCTGATACTCTGATTGACAGCTGAAGGGAAAAGCAGACCTCACTACATCCATTTGTTTGTTTTATAGGCCTAGGCTATTTTTATTTCCTTTTATTTACAGAATATTGCAGAATATCAACATTTAATGATGAGGTCTTCATTAAAAAGAAAAAAAAAGACTTGTTCAGGCAAAGAACAACATTCAATTTTAATAATTAAAAAGAAATAGAAATTTTAATAGCCTAATCATCATTACTCGCCCCATGGGGTTTTACCAGTCGGTTACTCTACCAACAACGGTACGGCAAATCCAACACAAATGGACTCACAGTTCGAGTGTGAAATTGACAGTATTTTAATGATTAATCTAAAATAATAAAATAAAAGAGAGGACACAACAATATTTTGCACTTGCCAGTTGTTATTTTGCCAGTTTTTCACACAAACATCTTATGCGAAAGTTGAATAAGAATAACTAACTGAATAGGCTAATGTAACGTAGTTACAGTAATGTAGTAATGTAGTTAGAGCGCCTGACTCTCATGCCGGAGACCCGGGTTCGAGGCCCGCTCGGAGCGGGTCGAGTGGGACTCGGGTGGAGGGGTTACACTAACTGTGACGGGTCGAGTGGTAGCTGCCCCTGCCACGCAGATATTTTACCCCCTCTCCATCAGTTTCTCCCGAAATACATGTAAGAAAGTGGCCGGTGAACTGTGCGAAGAATAGAGTAAACTTTACAGTTATTTCCACTATGCTTGTCTGATCTGCTTCCACAGACATCAGTGTGTATTTTACAAACTCCAAATGTATTGTTTTACTAGTGCGTCCGTCTCTGGCTCAGCGCCAGCCAACATGCAAAAGCACAGTTTGAATCTGGCAGTTATTATGTCACGTCACTGTACATTCTAAATCCCATATGTGGGACCGTACTCTCAGGGGCACAGAATTAAAAATTCCATATATGGGACCGTACTGCTCAAAAGGTTAAAACATTTCATTTCTATACATGAATACACAAATGAAACTGAGGGGGCACAAATCAGATCTGAGGGGGCAATGCCCCCTTTTGCACCCTCGGGGTGCCGGGCCTGACCTTAGTTGTCATATTTATTTATTTTAATGTAATAATAATTTTATAAATATCAGATTGATAGAAATAATACTATTATAGAGCAAGTTTATGCTCATTCGGCATATACCTTGTTTCAATCTGTTTCTACCACTATCACCTAGAATAGAGTAATATCTCTACTGATGCTTTATTAACAGAACTGTTTCACCTCATTTATTGTCTACAGATCACCTGTAAACTGCCACTTAAAGCTCATTTTAATAGTGTCAACAAAACAAAACACAATTGCCCCTTTTGAAGTATACAATAATTCTTAGCAGCAATAAAACACTTAAAATCAATGGACAAAAACTGCTAAATGACAAGTTGAATGAAGTTGAATCACTTGGAATGTTATTTTAACTAGTATTTTTTCATAATTTCAATATTTGTTTGTACTTATGACTATACTGCAGATAAAGATAAGAATGAAATTGCATAAAAATGTTATAAATTGATAGACTCACAGGCAAAATATAAACATGTAGAATATATTGGTTTTAAAAATACAAACAATAACTTTACCTTTTTGAAAGATGGATACAAAAAATGATGTTGTCAGATGTCCTAGGAACGTAAAAAAGGGGAGGGGTTTGGAATCAATTCCAGGTGTGATTCCCAAATTGTTTGCTGACGCAACCTTTTATACACGGTCTTTGGACGCGCACATTTGGAGATATGCTTATTTGTACTTGGCAATTTATTATTTTCAAAGACAAATATGGCACAACGAAGATTCACTGCCGACTCCGAGCAAGTTGCTGAACTGCTTTTTGACGACAGCGATGAGAGTGAGAGCGGATCTGATCCAGATCGGTTTGATTCGAGTGAAGAGGATCAAATCTTGGACGGAATCGATCCATTTGAGGAGTAAGTAGTTATGAATGCAATATTGCTGCTTATATATTGTCTAATATATAGGCTATTGTATTGTTTTTTTAGTAAAATTATTTTATTTTAGCTTTTCAGAAATAACAGAGCAGTAATCAAATATTGTGCGCCATCAAATAATGTGCGCGTTTTGGCCGCGTATAGTCCATCTTCATTTAAAAGCTATTTCGTTTACTTTGCTTGTCTATTTTATTGTAATGTTTTTTAGGGAAATTTTATTGTAGTTTTTCAGAAATAATGGTGCAGTAAGCCTTATCTAATGCCTGTACTATTTGTCTACTTGGGAGGGGGTTTGGTTGGTTTAGACTTTGTATTTACTCTGTGCATATAATACTATGATGAAGGCTCCAGTAATAATTTTGTAGTTAGAAGTCCTATGACTTGGATGTAAAAAATGCACACATGATGATGAATAGCTAATCTTTATTTCATTATAATAAAGGCTGTACAACTTTTGATATGTGGGAATCTAAACTAATGACAAAATCTGTGTGTTTTAGGCTAAATCAGGAAACCACAGAGCAGCCGAGTACATCAGCTGAACCCAGGACCCCGACCGCTCGCCCTCTTCCACACAGCACCGCTTCTGCTCCTCCTGCAGCCCACAGATCTAGGTCTCCTCCTGCAGCCCACAGATCTAGGTCTCCTCCTGCAGCCCGCAGATCCATTTATCTTCCTCGACCCGGCTCCTCCAGCACTGCCACAGAGCCACCAAGATCGTCTGCGACCCCTGCCTTGAGGTCGCGTCGTAGGGGAAGGAGGCCCTCTGTGTCACAGAGTCAGTTTGGTTCCCCAGTAGGCCAGTCACTTTCACCTGTCAGATGTCCAGCACCACCAGACCAGCCGGAACAAGGATGGAAGACCGAAAAGGATCCTGATGTGGCCCCCATTCCACATAGGTTTTGCCCCAGACTGAAACCTGGAGTGCAATTGGACACGTCTGTAGAGCAAAGCCCCCTCTGCCTTTTCAAGCACTTTTTTAGTGCTGATTCAATCAGGACATTGTGTGCCAACACAAACAAGCTGGCAGAGAGAAACATTGGTGCTGGGAAAAGGTACAAGTGGACCACCATCAATCCTGCAGAGATGTTCAAATTCATTGGCTTAGTTTTGTACATGGGAGTTCTAAAGCTCCCAGCAGTAAATGACTATTGGAAGAGAAAAAACATTTTTTCGGTGAATTTTCCAAACAAGGTCATGACAAGGGATAGGTTCTGTGCCATATCCTGGAATATTCATATGAGTGACCCAGAGGAAGATGTTGTGAATGACCGAAAGAAGCGGACTCAGCCAGATGAGTATGACACACTCTTTCGTTTGAAGCCACTGATGACTGAGATAAAGGCCGCCTGTCAGTCTGCCTACCATCCCAAGAAGCAGCTTTCCATTGATGAGAGGATGGTGGCCACCAAGGCAAGAACTGAGATGACCCAGTACATGAAAGCGAAACCCACCAAATGGGGGATAAAGCTGTTTGTGCTGGCAGACTCCAGCAATGGCTATACCTGTGACTTCAACATATACACAGGTAAAAGCAGGTTGGCATCTGGGCTAGGGCTCTCATTTGACTCTGTGGTGGAATTGATGAGGCCATATTTCCTAGGCAGTGGTTATCACCTCTACTGTGATAATTTTTACACCAGCCCAAAACTCTTCAGACACCTGCTGTCCCTCAATTTTGGAGCCTGTGGTACCATACGTGAGGGGAGGAAGGAGGCTCCAAAAACAAAAATAAACCAACTGACCAAGAAATCCCCCAGAGGATCTCTCAGGTGGATAAGAGAAGATAACCTTCTCTTCACCAAATGGATGGACAACAGGGAGGTGGCAATGTGCAGCAGTGTCCATGTTGCTTATGATGGGGACACTGTCAAGAGGAACCTGAAAAAGAGGGATGGATCCTGGGAGGAGACAAAAATACCAGTACCAAAACCGATTGTTGATTACAACATGTACATGGGGGGAGTGGACTTATCAGACCAGCTGATACAGTACTACTCGGTTCACCACACAACCAGAAGATGGTACAGAACCATGTTTTTTCATTTTATTGACATTGCTGTGACCAATGGCTTCATAATGTACAGAGAAATTCAAAAGCTGAGGAACACCCCAGCCAACCAGCTCATCACCCACAGGGCCTACGTGGAGCAGCTTGTGGCTGAGCTGTGTGGTGTCACAGTCCGGGCCGTGCCTGTACAGAGGAGAACTGGACATACACCTGTGCCAATCTCACAACCAGCTGCAAGGCTGAGGTGTGAGAAATGTAAGGCGGATGGGCTCCCAAGAAAAGACACCTCATGGAAATGCAATGAGTGTGATGTGCCACTCTGCCTACAGCCAGAGCGTAACTGCTTTCATATGTGGCACAACATGTAAGAAAAGAAAAGCTTTGACTGATGAAAAGCACATCAATCTTTCAAGTCTTTCAAATGCAGTGCACAGTGTCATCTAGGGGTGGTTTTTGGATGTTTAGTAAATTGAGACAGAATATTCCATTCAAATGAACATTTTGTTCCCTTTATATTGTCTTATTTCTGTGTTTTTTAAAAAACGTATGGTGACTACAGTCACAGAAATGTAGATAGTTGTTTTGTTTCTTTATATTTTTTCACCCAATTTTTTTTGAAGTTGTTCTAGCCTTTGAGGAATAAATATTTGTTGTAAAATCCCTTATTCATTTGTTTAATATTTTTTTTATATAATAAAAACAAAAAAAATTGAATTTCTGTTTTTGTATTTCTTGGTGATACATCACATCAGAACACATACAAATGTTTCAAGAAGTGTATTGACAATACGTCCACATTGTAGCCGATAATCTATAGAATCCAGAAATGTGACTCTCTTCACTCTGCTATGAAAATTGACCATTGCAGAAGCCAAAATGTCAACATGAGAGTGCGAGGTGGGCTTAAAACCCCTTAGACCTTGAAGGGTTAAAATGATCTGCTCTTCCTGCTTAATAAGATCTGCTCTTCCTACTACACAGGAATACCCCTCTTGTGAAGGTTCTATAACAATTCACCGATAAATGCTGGAATATTCCCATCAGTCTACAAGTGAAGAAGAGAAACACCGAGATCATGAGTGATCCAGAACCCTGCAGAATAAAAGATGAAGATGCTGAAGAACAAAGAGGTTGGTGTTTATTCTTGATTCTTCTTTAATGATGCTGAAGATCATTAAGGTTATAAAACTTCAAAGCAGTACATCAGATTTAGTGGATGTAGTTAGAAAATTCGCAAGAGCCCTGAAATAACATAGTTAAAGGAGCAAATAATATACAGGATACTTTCCATAAAATTAGTACAAAATGAAGTTTTCTTTACTTTAGTGTCAACAAATGGTCATTGTAAAGAGGTTTGAAAAACATTCATATTGATTGTTAAAATAAGTGGGTCAGATTACATATTATAAAAGCGGTTTAATTTATATCCGTTTCATAATCATAATACTTAAAAGATTAAACCATTTTCAACCATTCTTTATTAACTCTTTCTCAGCCATTGTGGCTAATTAGCATATTCATGGATCTGTGTATAGATGGTCCCGGATCTTAACGGGTTAAAAAAAATATTGTGTCTCTTCTAAATTTTATAATGGCAGTGGATTGCAACCAACAGATTGAAGCTCAAAAGTGTGCATCCATCCATTGCAAACATTCTCCAAACAGCTCATGTGGCAAAACGATGAGTTTGTGTAAGAAAAATATGAATATTTAACACGTTAAATGCCCCTAATGCGCAACTTACAAAATGTATTAAGCCAGAAGTAGCATACGTAGTTGCGCTTTACACGTAGGCCTAAGTGGAATCTGTATGTTTTTTTGGGCCGGAAGCTAGTTATTTTCCTTTATAAAGTTTTAAATATTAATATTTTTCTTACACAAATTCATTGCTTTGCTTCAGAAGGCCTTTATTAACTCCCTGGAGCCGTGTGAAGTATCTTTTATTTTTTACCATTCAAAATTGAATTTATTTTAAAACATTAAACTCATAGCATTATTTAAGTTGTGATATCTTATTTGTTGATATTATATTAATACACATGATCATTACTAATTATTGTTTATAAAAGTTTTATTAAATTGTTTATTAATATTTCAATACATAATTTAATATGAATATTAAAAAGTGTGCTTTATAAACTGTTAAAGACAATGAAGTACAATGACTGAATACTGTCAATAATATAGTAAATAAAAACAAACTACACAGGTTTTTAAGACTTTAGAAAAATTTCCTAGAAAATTATCTCTAAAAAAGAGTTAGTAGTGTTAGTGTTAGTAGTAGATGTATTTGGAATAAAAACAGGGTTACCACATTACCAGTTTGTCAACGAATACAACTTTAGTTACGCTGTACTATACTGTCATATCCACAACGTAATTAAACAGTTTGCTTTTACACACACAAGATGTTTTGTGCAATATCATAAGGACAGGATTTGAAATTAACACCCTTACAACCAAAAAAATGAAGCTATAACTATGATGGGTAACAATGTCAAATTGCAAGCCAATTGGGTCGGTTATGTTTCACAAATTATGTTCACTCAGTTTGCTGGCGAAGTTTATGTAATCTGCACTGATTTAGTGCACACTCAACTCGATATGAAGTTGATGCTCTGGTTTGTTTGCTTTGAAGGGAATAGCGCAGACCCAAGAAACATAGTAATGCGTGGATCGCGGTTACTGTATTTTCCGCACTATAAGGCGCACCGGATTATAAGGCGCACCTTCAATGAATGACCTATTTTAGAACATTTTTCATATATAGGGCGCACCGGATTATAAGGCGCATAAGATACTGCAGTCAAACGTTTGACTGGGTTTGCGTTATGCATCCACTAGATGTGCTAAAGGGAATGTCAACAAAACAGTCAGATAAAGTCAAACTTTATTAAGCGTTCTGACAACTCCGTTCACTCCCATGGTAACGTTGTTCAAACGTTAAAGGAAAACTCCGGTCAATTTTAACATTGAGCTCATTTTTTTGTAAATTTGGAGTGCTGTCAGTACAGATAACAACGACAAAAACCGGTGTTGCCTACACCGTGTTATCCTCTTTTTAAAATTTGCACCCTGTTGACTTAAACGGGACAAGTTTTAAACCTGTTTTTAGCCTCTTAACAACCTTAATGTGTCATTACAAGTGCACAGCCATGTGAGTGAACACGGTGAATCTGACGGCAGTAAATCTGAAAGATATGAATAAAAATGATGTTTATTCAGCCAGCTCACATATCCGTATTTTCTTTCTGTTTTCGGTCGAAGTCCACAGTAGGCGATTGTCGAGTGCGCGCGCGCGATCATTGGTAACTAAGCAACAGTGGAGACTCAGACTGTCAGCTGTCAGCCGATGACGGTGCTGTGTGGTGTTCTGAGAATATCCGCTCAAATGGATAGTTCATCCGAATCAGATGTTGAACACACGGAGGAGGTTTGATCGCGCGCACGAACTCGACAATCAACTACTGTGGACTTCGTGGACGTGTGTTCACCATCCATATATAAGGCGCTCCGGATTATAAGGCGCACTGTCGTTTTTTGAGAAAATTAAAGGCTTTTAAGTGCGCCTTATAGTGCGGAAAATACGGTATATGCGTGAGTCGGATGGGCCAAGTTATAAAAAATAACATTCCAATTAACTGCTGGTGGATCGTGGGCATATGAGATTAATCATTAATGTGTTGATTTTAATAAAGACACAGCACTCATTTCATTGTAAAACGAAATGAAAGTCAATCACTCTTTTACTTTCGTTTTCAACAACTTATATCTCTTCAGGAAAAAACAATCAAGGAAAACATATGCCTCGATCACCTCCTAGAGGTCATCATAAAAAACAGAAAGGGAAAAACTTACATGAGATTTTGCTTAAAGGGGTCATATAATGCCATTTTTGTACAAGCTAATATGATTCTTTAGGGTCTAAATTAAAAGTTTGTAATATACTTTAATTAAAAATTCTCATTAGTATTGTAAGAAAACACTTATTTTACCTGGTCAAAAACAGCTCTGTTTTCAGCACGCCGTTTCAGTGCATATGACTTTAAATGATCATGAGCTTTGCTGACTCCGCCTCTCTGTTCTATGCGTACACGTTTGTAACACAATACCATAACGTGTTGTTCATTATAAACGTGGGATTATGAATTATATGGAGAACGTCGTACATAGAAAACATGCAGTAATGTACCCTGAGTGTAAACCTTAGACTCATTCATCGTGAAGCGATTTGCAAAGATATAAATATTAATATAAAGTTTAATAAAACGTTACACTCACTTCAGTTGTTCTAGAGGTTCAGCAGGAACACGAATATCTGGTACCGATTCTTTATTCAGGAGCAGCTGCTTAGCAAAACCAGCTTTATACTGATCCTCGTTTATAAAGCAGTCTGGTGTGAAATGATTCGCGCAAACATGAGAGCATTGACGTTGCTCGTGGGGAATATTCCCTTCGAAAACAAACTCAGCCACTGCGTCTTCAGCGGTTCGGATTTAGGAACATTAAAATGACTGCTGTGTTCGTTATTACACCCAAGAACAGAACACCACAATCGCTTAGACGCCATTCTGCTCATAGACAGTGCTCCAGCATATCAACAATGACCGCGCCGGTCCGCGCAGACTATGATTGACAGCTCTCACGAGCGAGGGCGGGTCTGTGTTGAAACGCGCCTATCAATCAACAATCGCGGGAGGGGCGTCCGACCGTGTGACGTCACACGGTCGAACGGCTCGATTTGAGGCAGGGGAAAACATATAAGGAGATTAAAACAAAACCACTGGATGGATTTTTATCATTATATGATGGTTGTGTACAGGCACTGCCAACACACATTTCAGTACAATCAACTTAAAAAAGTGCATGTACCATTATATGACCCCTTTAATAACTAAACAGCTTTAACTAAAAATATACTCAAGCTTAACGGATATTATTCTAGGAAGAGTGTTTTGCATCTTTTTCACCTTATTTCACCTCTGATAAGTTTGCATTCCTGATTTTTTATAGCAGTTTTCTGTTACTTCTATCATATCAGTGATCACCTGTGTTCTTTTCCTTCATATTTCTGTTTTTAATTGTATGATTGACTTAAAATCAAACGTGTTTTACATTCATTTCAGACCTGATGGAAGAATCCGAGGAGAGTGAAGAATTTACTGAAGAGAAGGAGAAACATGATGCCAAATCTGTTAAACAAAATTCAAGCCACACACTGAAAAGAAGTGCTACACAATCTTTTACCTGCTCTCAGTGTGGAAAGAGTTTCTCATACAAACAAAATCTGAAACATCACATGAGAATTCACAGTGGAGAGAAGCCGTTCACGTGTGATCAGTGTGGGAACAGTTTCACGCGAAAAGGATCTCTTGAAGAACACATGAAAATCCACACTGGAGAGAAGCCGCACACATGTGACCAGTGTGGGAAGAGTTTCAGACATGCCAGCACTCTTAAATCACATCTGCGTTCTCACTCTGGAGAAAGACCATATAACTGTGATCAGTGCGGTAAAATGTTCTTAAGGGCAGAATCCCTCAAGAGCCACCTGAAAGTTCATTCAAAGGAGAAGCCTCATGTTTGTTCTTTGTGTGGAAAGAGTTTTAGTCGGCTGAACGCTTTTAAAATACACCAGAAAAGACACAGCGGTGTGAAGAATCACATATGCTTTGATTGTGGAAAATCCTTTATTAGAGATGCTGAACTGAAACAGCACCAGAAAACTCACACTGGAGAAAAACCTTACAAGTGTTCACACTGTGACAAGAGATTCAGTCAGGCAGGACACATGAAAATACATGAGAGGATCCACACTGGAGAGAAACCGCACACATGTGATCTGTGCGGGAAGAGTTTTGCACATTTAAACTCTCTTAAATTACATCTGCTTTCTCATTCCGGAGAAAGAAAGTATAACTGCGATCAGTGTAATAAGAAATTTGTTAGGGCAGATTGTCTGAAGAATCACCGGAAAGTTCATAGAAAGGAGAAGCCTCACGTGTGTTCTTTGTGTGAAAAGAGTTTTGGCCCTATAGGCAATTTTAATACACATCAGGAAAGACACAGCGGTGTGAAGAATCATATGTGCTTTGATTGTGTGAAGACCTTTATTACAGATAATGAACTGAAACTGCACCAGAGAATTCACACTGGAGAAAAACCTTACAAGTGGTCAGCATCTTTGAATATACATGAGAGGAGCCACACTGAAGAAAGGCTGTATCATTGTGGAAAGAGTTTTAGTAAATTAGCTTTTCTACTCAGTCGTACAGAAAACAAACACTTTTAAGACATGTATTTGGTATCTTTATTTTAACTTTTTCTTCATCCTTATGATTAGATCATCTAATCACTTGACCACTTCAGACATATTTACCAAATGCAGATGCGAGATATACTGCAACGATGGGGAAATATTTTATTTTATTATTCCTAATGCTTTACAACAACTTTGTATACATTATCATGTTCATGTAAAGTATTACATTCTAAAAGAGGTATCTTTAAATAATGAATATTTTTGCACACATTTGTTTTTTGGTTAATGCTAATTTATAAATACACTTGTCTATTGTGAAATCACGGTAGTTATTAATTATAATGAAGTGAAGTGATATATGATATGAAGTGATGTATAATTAATAACTATGTTATATGTACATATAATTATATGTAGAAATTTATATAAAAATAACCATGGTCTTTAGTGTTAGTTTTGGGGCTCCAGAAACAAAAAAACTACATTACATTCCTAGTCATCTGAGAACATACCAGATCATTGTGGCATATATGGACTTGTTTTACCAATTTAATCTTTGCTAGTTATTAAACTGTCTGTATGGAAAATAGCTAAAAGGGCCACTTTTAGTCCTAGTCCACCTCTGCTTTTATTCCTGAATATTAAATAAATAAGTGAATAATTTTAATTATGAAAGCAAATGTATTTTGGGGCTTTCCATCTTTTTAATTTCTCAATACAGCTTTTATATGCCTATTAAATGATATTTCACCCCAAACATGACTGAAGTAGCTGTCTGTCTACACATTAACATTCAATATCACAATCCAAAATTCATTTGTTCTAACAAACATCTCGACGCAGAGTGGAAATTATACCGTTATTTTTGTTTCATATTTCTATAGTACCTGTTTTATATGATAATTGAGGATAATATTTGGCGCATTTTTGATAACGGTGATGACGTCACCAGACGTCACTACTTACGCCGTCAGTGAGTCAGGATCGAGTTCTCTGAGGTGAGTTGAGCAGTTCACGGTGCAGCCAGCCGCGTATATTTATCTAACTATAAAGTACAGAATTACCTCAAGCAGCCTTTAAAGGGATGGTTTATGTATTGTTTTTATCGGGTACATCTCTAGTTGTGCGTCTTTTCTTGCGTTTGCCGACGGAAATGAACATTTAGTTGTCAACGATGGTGTGTGCTGAATTCATTAAGACGAGCGATTTTGTGTTTTTTCTTTGTTCGTGTGTCGATGTTTGGAACAATAATGTTATGGTTACTGAATGTCACTGGTCAAGGTATTGCCAGAGTATGTAAATTATGTAATTCCTATGTTGCTGTGTAGATATGAGAAAAATCGAACTAGGCTATATTTAAATATGGAGGTATTATGCTTAGATAGATTTCTTTTTCATGAAATGTTCTCCCACACAGAAAGGAAACAGAAGAAGAACTGTGTTGTATAGGTGTGGCTTGTAAGTTACTTCTGTCTCAGATTTTTAGAAATAATGCTATTACAGAGCACTTTTATGCTCATTCTGCCTATTCATAGATGCCACATACGTCACTACCAAATAGAACGTATATTACCAAATAGAATATTTATGACCGATATTGCCCGGTATGGCAGCCCCAAACGAGCCCGATCTCATGAAAGTGCGTATCTATACCACGAATGTCATTTCTCGTGCCATTTATAGGCCAAAAATGTTTTTTGCGTCTATATGATACGCCGTTTTCGCGTGCATATGATACGCACTTTATGGCGTGTAATACGCACGCACTCCCCACCCCCCTCCCCCCTAAACCTACCCAAGGGGTTTTCAGTGCGTAGCATATGCACGCAAAAAACATTTTTGGCGTATAAATGGCACGAGAAATGACATTCGTGGTATAGATACGCACTTTCATGAGACTGTGTTGCCCAAACTGCCCATTTGAATGAGAGAGAGAGACAGAGATACCTTGAGAAAATTTTAATTTTAGGCTCCGATCCTTATGTTACCCCGAGTTTTCTTTTGTCCATTATTATCTGCCCCAGACTTGCACCAATTTGCCTTCCATGATATATATATATCTTGTGCATAACCCCTCCCCATACAGTGGGGATCACTTGAAGGCTTTCAAGAGTACCGATGCATATCAATATGCTGTGGCTGGATGGGTAAAAGTGCGGCACTTGGCCACCAAGGATTTATATTTAATCATAGGAAATGTAAATTATATAAAAAAATTCAAATGTATGATTTTGGTGGTAGTTTGCTCTAACCAGGTAGCGAGTTGTTAGCTAGCTAAGTGGCTAACAGCTGGTAGCTTGCCAGCTGTTAGCCACAGCTCACGGCTAGCTGTCATTAATCGGGATTAGGCCTGTCGCGATAGTCAATAAATCAATTAATCGCACAATAAAAAAAATGAGCTCGATAATTTTTCCGGCCGCGATAATTTCCATTTGCATGCTTGTTTGTTTTCCTCGTCTCTCTCTCTCTCTCTCTCTCTCTCTCTCTCTCTCTCTCTCTCTCTCTCTCTCTCTCTCTCTCTCTCTCTCTCTCTCTCTCTCTCTCTCTCTCTACCAAAGAGACTGGATGACAACTCTGTTTAAGACATATCACATCCTGTAAAATTCAACCAATCATATCGCGACTTCGAAACTCCTGAAGTGCTTCCAGAAAAGTGTGCCATATGCATCAGATGTTCAGCCAATGGTCCGTGGACGTGACGTTTGAGGCTGAGACTACTTTATAGAGAGCCTAAGTCCCTCCCTTTCCGGTCGACCACCATGAGACCTTATTTTGGAAAAATATTGTATGGTAGTCAATGGCGAGAGACAACAAATATTTTGATCTCGTTTGAATTGTGCCCTGAATTCCACATGATGTTTGTCAATTTAAAAGATACATTTTAAAGTCAAGAAAGTCGCAGTTTGATGTAAAACTGTTGAGGTATAAGCAGTGATGGGAATAACGGCGTTATACATAACGGCATTACTTTTTCCAGTAACGAGTAATCTAATTGATTACTCTTCTCATCTTAATAACGCCGTTACCGTTACTGCCAAAAAATGCGGCGCGTTACTATAACTGATGAAGCTGTTTTTTTTTCATCAGACCAACTAGATCTCTGAGCGAGAGGCAAATGCTTTTTTTACTGCTGCATTTACATCATGTCATAATTATGAGATGACAACTTTTTTTAATCAGAATATGTCATTACTACCAACGCCACAATTAATCTGAAGTACCGATTTGTCCCATGCAACCTCTATACCAGTGGTCTCAAACTCGCGGCCCGCGGGGTGATATTTTGTGGCCCCCTACTTGACATTAAATTTTAATGTTAGTGCGGCCCGTCGTTGCGTTTGCCGCGTTTTTTAAAAAAAAAGATTATTTTTTAATCCCTTATGGGCTACCATATATAGTCTCGTGACAGCTTACGTTGGGTTTGTTGTCAATAGTTGTCATAGACAACCGCGAAGTACAAACATACTGCGCCTGGAAAAAATGAGCGCGTCGCTTCAATTATGAGCGCGCTTGCCGCGCGCCTACATTTGAAATGACGAACTTGAGCGCGCAAAATATGTGAGCGCGATATGTGAACAGGCCCCATGGTGAGGTACCACCAATCAGGCCACGAGCTACTGGTAGTTCGCGAGCGACGTGTTGGAGGCCCCTGCTCTAAAACAATGTGAGAATAATCATTTTGAGCTTGTAATATGTGTCCAACTGGTTGATAAGAAGGTTTGCTTTGATTTGTGCAAAGTCAATAATTTGAGACTCTATACATGTGTAGAAAGAATTCAATATGACAGGCAGACATGACTGCAAATATTTTTATTTCAAAAGCAATAATTGTTTTTCTAAGTATAATACAAGGAAATTTGCCTTCCAAAAAAAACATTCAATATCATTAATGTGTTGCATAAAGAAAATAAAAAGGACATAAGCAAATATAAATATCTCAAATATGTGTTATATGGAAAAGACAGAAAGTTTGTAAAATGAACTTCAACTGTCAGAAGGACAGCTCATGAAGAACCAATCATGTACAGAAAGTAATGTTCAAATTCAGAGGAACAGTTCAGAAATAACGTTAATAATAAATATTGAGAAGATTGGATCAGTTGTGCTCCTTTTTTGGAATACTTGAATACTATTTTTTTGTGGAATACTTGATGCGGCCCAGCCTGACCCAGACTCTACCTCCAGCGGCCCCCAGTTAAGTTGAGTTTGAGACCCCTGCTACCATGGTGGGATAGAGGTTGTGTTGTACAAGTCGGTACAAATTTCTACAATAAAGTAGCTCTCCAGTTTGTTTGTGTTCTTACTCGTGGACGTCGGATCTCGATGGACTGAACAGAAGAAATTAACCAATGTCAAAGGCGGAGTCACAGCGCCACACCTACCCTTTACATAAATGCTACAAACCAATGGTAGTTTGAAAGTATTTACCAGCCGGAGCCAACTTTTCTAGAATTTTGTCTTTGGCAAGCACGAGACAAGCGCATAAATGCTGACGATTGGCTGAGGTAGAGTAAAATGTCATTGTAAGCTAATCAGAGGTAGAGTTGGGCGGGTGTTCGAAAGCACGCATAGTAATGATGGGCATTCGGCTCTTTTGACTCAGCTCACTGAAAAGAGCCGGCTCTTTTGGCTCACAAACGGCTCTTTAAATGACTTTGACTATAATATTTAAATTTTTATTACATAATTATTTAATTTCTATAGGCTAAATTTGTCGAGAGTCGGCTCTTCAGATATGCGAGCCAGCTCCCGACGTTCACCTAAAAGAGCCGGCTCTTAAGGGGGTCCCACACCGGACGAGAAGCGCAGCGCCGCGTCGCGTGCGGGCCCGTTCACATATCGCGTCTTTTGCGCGCTCAAGTTCATTATTTGCGACGCGCTCGTTTTTTCCAGGCGCGTCCGCGCCGCATCGAGATAAAAACATCTCAACTTTTCAGAATGCCGCAAGCGCACCATAAGCGCACAGTAGGTCACGTGACAAGAACCAACCGGAGCGCAACCGCCCTAGCATTTTGAAAAAAAAGAATGCGGCGCGCCCAGCGTTTTCTACGCGTTTTTAGGCGCGATATGTGAACGCAGCCTAGGACAACTCGAGGTATCGCACACCGGACGCGCACTTTCTCAGTGTATTATGGCCAGTAAAATTGTTATGTTTAATGACATTATGAAATGAAGATAATGTCTGTACTATGGCATGATTGTACTGTACAATTAAATACAATCGTTGCTGAGTCTGCAGTCTGAAAACTTTACCTCAGAGCGTCCGTTGCCTGAATGAATTGAGAATCTCATCTGAAAATCCAATAACATCAGCAATTGTCATTCAAGCAGCTGATTTCTGTAAATGAATGCAAAACTAAATGTATATTACAGCACAGGGCGAAGTCAGGATACATTAACAACGATTTGAGACAAAAATAATGTACATTTTATATAAAACTATGTAAATGGCGCTGTGTGGCGCGGCAGGATTTTGAACACGGTCCTGAGCCGTTGCTGGGCGCCGCGCCGCTGAGCTTCTCGTCCGGTGTGCGACCCCCTTTAGAGTCGCGAATGACCCATCAAAAGCTCATTCACGAACGACCCATCATCACTAAAGGCTAACGCTCATGAATTGCGAACGACCCATCATAACGCATAGTCGGACAGGACAGGACACACAAGGAACTACAAAGAGTGTATATATTTGTTATTTCTTTTTGGTATATTACTTAACAAGCTTAATTTAATTTTGCCCAGTTGTGGCCTGTTGAGGGGCAATAAATATCGAAAGTTCCAAAATATCTATTGTGTTATTTGCATTGATCCACTATATAAACATAATATCTACATACATGGCATTTGATTGGAAGCTAGTCTCACTTTGTCCCACAGCAACATTTTTTTAGACGTGTGTACAACGTTTCATGTTTCTGTTAATAATGTATTGTATTAAGTGTCCATTTCATTATAATATTCATATTTATCATAAATAATTGAACATGCACATGTATTTTAAGTTCCGTTAAAGAGGGGTAGAGGTGGGGTCACATTTGAGCGTTTAAAATTTAATTTTACTTGAGAGTAACGCAATAGTTACTTTCTTAAGTAACTAGTTACTTTTAAAATTTGTAACTGAGTAACTAATTTAGTTACTTTTTGGAAGAAGTAACTAGTAACTGTAACTAATTACTTTTTAAAAGTAACTTGCCCAACACTGGGTATAAGACTGTGAAAATATGTAATTACAAAGACTACAAACCCAAAAGGCGCACATTTTCTCACAATGAATGAAGCTAACTTTACTGAAGCTAACGTCCGTCATTTTTTTCTATAGTCTGTCTTACTATAGTTATAATCGTAACGTTACACCGTCATGCCATAGTGTTTTGTACCAGACTGCACACATACGAGCAACGGATCTTGCTCGTTGTTTCGCTTCCCGGGAGATGTAGTTCATTGAGCGATTTTCACATAAAACTAAATGTTACTCTTCTGTTTTATGACAAACTGCGACTTTCTTGACTTTCAGAATTATCTTTTAAATTGACAAACATCATATGTGTAATTCAGGCACAGTTCAGACAGAATAAAAAGATAAGTTTTCTCTCGCCATTGACTACCATACATATTTTTTCCAAAATAAGGTCCCATGAGCCGAAGCGGAGGGGAGGGACTTAGGCTCTCTATACAGTAAAGTGATATACAATACAACACGCGCCGCCGCATTTGCGTGTGCATTTGAAGAGTAAGCCCTAGGAGCACAGAATAATGGCTGACAGGACAGGAAAGTCAGTTTTTCTGAGGTGAGAGACTTTTTATTTCGGCGTACACTTACATCACTGGTAGTTCCTATTTAGCTGGGTTCTCCTGAAGTAGTCGTGATTCGCCTCATAACGTAACAAGCTCTAAACGCAGAATATCAGTGGATTTTGTTTTGTAATCATGATTTTAAACAATTACGTAATCGTGACATCTGTAATCGCAATCACGATTAAAAATTCGATTAATTGTGCAGCCCTATAGTGTCAACAGATTAAGGCCAACTAAACAAAACACAATCACCACTTTTGATGTTTACAAGATACATACATTTCTTAACAGCATTTATTTAACTACAGTCTCTAATATATGTTTAATTTAGAAACAATAAAACACTTAATCAAGTTAATTCTGTTATTTATTCATAATTTCAATATTTCGTTGTTCATATGACAATACTGTTGATAAAGGTAAGAATTTAAACAAATTTAAAAGTTGAAAGAATATGTAGAATGTGAATAAAAAAAAAGCAATAATTTTATTCTTTCACCGTGATAAACAAAATTTAAATGGTTAAAATATGTCAATTAATATCATCAGTTTACTTATTTATTCATTTATTTAATGTTTTTCCATGTAACCAGATATGTTCTTGCTTCTACACAGAACTTCCCCTCTTGTAAAGCTTCTTCTACAATATTTCACCAAAAAAATGCTCAGCCTACAAGAGAAAAAAAACAGTGAGAACATGAATGATCCAGAACCCTGCAAAATAAAACATGAAGATACTGAGGAACAAAGAGGTTGGTTTTTATTCTTGATTCTTCATTAATAATGCTGAAGAGCATTAAGGTTATACATCTTCAATCAGTTCATCAGATTAAGTGGATGTAGTTAAAAACATAGTTAAAGGAGCAAATCATAATAAATAATAATAATTGTGCCTGAAATATTTAAATAATAACATTGTGATCATTGTGCAAATAAATTCATAAAAATATTTTTATAGCAGTTTTCTGCTGTCATATCAGGGTTTACTTGTGTGTTCTTTTCCTTCATATTTCTCTTTTTATGATTTACTGAAAATCAGACCTGACAGAAGAAAAAGAGGAGAGTGAAGAATTTATCGAAGCCGAGGAGAAACATGATGTCGACAAACAAAACTCTTTGTTGAAAAGAAGTGCCAAACAATCTTTTACCTGCATTCAGTGTGGGAAGAGATACTCATACAAACACATTCTGATACATCACATGAGAGTTCACACTGGAGAGAAGCCGTTCACGTGTGATCAGTGTGGGAACAGTTTCACACAAAAAAGAATCCTCAAGGAACACATGAAAATCCACACTGGAGAGAAGCCGTACACATGTGATCAGTGCGGTAGGAGTTTCGCACAAGCAAACGCTCTTAAATCACATCTGCGTTCTCACTCTGGAGAAAGACCATATAACTGTGATCAGTGCGGTAAAATGTTTTCAAGCCCTGAAACCCTGAAGAAGCACTTGAAAGTTCATACAAAGGAGAAGCCTCATGTTTGTTATTTGTGTGGAAAGAGTTTTAGTCAGATGGGTGCATTAAAAATACACCAGAAAAGGCACAGCGGTGTGAAGGATCACATGTGCTTCGATTGTGGAAAATTCTTTATTAGAGATGCTGAACTGAAACAGCACCAGAAAACTCACACTGGAGAAAAACCTTACAAGTGTTCACACTGTGACAAGAGATTCAGTCAGGCAGGACACATGAAAATACATGAGAGGATCCACACTGGAGAGAAACCGTACACATGTGATCTGTGCGGGAAGAGTTTTGCACATGCAAACACTCTTAAATTACATCTGCTTTGTCATTCCGGGGAAAAACAGTATAACTGCGATCAGTGCAGTAAAACATTTGTTTTGGCAGTATCCCTGAAGGTCCACCTGAGAGTTCACTCAAAGGAAAAGCCTTACACGTGTTCTTTGTGTGGAAAGAGTTTCAGTCAGGTGGGTGCTTTAAAACGACACCAGAAAATACACAGCGGCGTGAAGAATCATGTGTGCTTTGATTGTGGGAAGACCTTTATTACAAATTCTGAACTGAAACTGCACCAGAGAATTCACACTGGAGAAAAACCTTACAAGTGTTCACAATGTGACAAGAGTTTCAGTTGGTCAGCATGTCTGAAAATACATGAAAAGAGCCACACTGGAGAGAGGCCATATCTCTGTTCTTCGTGTGGGAAGAGTTTTAGTAAATTAGCTTCTCTACGCAGCCATTCAAAAAGAATATGTCCAATGCAATAAAAGCTTCCTTCCAAATAAATCTATCCTAGCCAGCTGCAACAAATGACTGGACAAAGAACCGTCACCAAAAGTCGTCACAGTGAACAAGTGTGAGATTCAGATCAACACAATGATGCTATAACACTTTTAAGTGAGACATGTATTTAATAAATATATAAATAAATGTAAAGAATTATAACTTGTTCTTCATCTTTGTACTTAGATCATTTAGTTATTTGGCCACTTAAGACCTGTTTACCAAATGCAGATGCAAGATACTATTATGATGGGGCAATGTTGGTGGTTTTGCATGTAACGCATTACATTCTAAATACTTTCATTATAAATAATATACTTTCACTTTCATTATAAATATAGGCTACTTTCACTTTCAATATAAATATGCTTTCATGCCCCCCAATAAGCATAGTTTTATATGTACTTAAACTGCTCAGCGTTCTGGTAATGTCAATGGTCCATTTCAGTGGCGGCCAAAATGTCAATAAAAAATCAGCATATAGCTTACGTTAGTCATACAATACAATATTAACATCAGTGAACTATCGTCAAAGCACGGTTTAACACTTTATCGCCCCGCCTTCGAGATGAACTTGAAAATTTGATTGGTTTTGCAAAGTTTTTTTTTTATAATGTACATTTTTGCCTTTGTCACCACAGCTTTTAGGTGGGGAGATCATTAAAGTCACCATGAAATCAAAATGTACTATTCTTATTTTTATGCAATATTGCAGAATTTATTCTAAATTATTTATCTGTGTACTTGATTATTTTCTATAATCCATGTGCCCTCGAAATCCTTGTTCTAAAAACCATCTTCTCCCTCTTGCGTCGATTTATATAATCATAACGGCAAAAGACAATACTTATCTTGAAATCAAAGAATATAATGACAGGATAATTGACAAAGTTTGAAGTTCAAATATCTTATTGTAACGGTCAGGCATGTTTAAAAACCCCCTCTCAAACAAATATCAATGATAATATTGTGGTCAATAAAACAAAATGCATTTGATTAAATTTAACATGACAATGTGTAAAAACTAAAGTAGCCTAAATTCCCGTTTATTTTTACATATTTGTCAGTCTGAGGTGTCGTTGACGTTGATATGGGTTGCATGTGTCTTGTTTCGAAGTTGACTGACAGGGTCTGCAGCGGTTTCAAAAGTCTCAGTTTTCGAGGGTCTAAAACTCCAGAGTAGTATGGACGGCAGGCATAATCGTAGCAAAAGTTATGCGTAACACACTTGTGTAAACGTAGTTATTCCACAGTCTACTTGGGAACCAAAGCTCTCCAGCCAAACATGGTACTTTCAGTGAGTAATGGCTCGACGGCAGGAAAAAAAATAAACCAAAGTATTTTCTTGAACTTTTTTTTTTTGTACAAAAATTAAAGGTAGAGGTGGGATTAATTAAAAAATCCACATATCACATATTTTGAAATATTATTAATGCCTGTTTGTCATGTACACTCACCTAAAGTATTATTAGGAACACCTGTTCAATTTCTCATTAATGCAATTATCTAATCAACCAATCACATGGCAGTTGCTTCAATGCATTTAGGGGTGTGGTCCTGGTCAAGACAATCTCCTGAACTCCAAACTGAATGTCAGTATGGGAAAGAAAGGTGATTTAAGCAATTTTGAGCGTGGCATGGTTGTTGGTGCCAGACGGGCCAGTCTGAGTATTTCACAATCTGCTCAGTTACTGGGATTTTCACGCACAACCATTTCTAGGGTTTACAAAGAATGGTGTGAAAAGGGAAAAACATCCAGTATGCGGCAGTCCTGTGGGCGAAAATGCCTTGTTGATGCTAGAGGTCAGAGGAGAATGGGCCGACTGATTCAAGCTGATAGAAGAGCAACTTTGACTGAAATAATCATTCGTTACAACCGAGGTATTCAGCAAAGCATTTGTGAAGCCACAACACGCACAACCTTGAGGCGGATGGGCTACAACAGCAGAAGACTCCACCGGGTACCACTCATCTCCACTACAAATAGGAAAAAGAGGCTACAATTTGCAAGAGCTCACCAAAATTGGACAGTTGAAGACTGGAAAAATGTTGCCTGGATTTGTCTCGATTTCTGTTGAGACATTCAGATGGTAGAGTCAGAATTTGGCGTAAACAGAATGAGAACATGGATCCATCATGCCTTGTTACCACTGTGCAGGCTGGTGGTGGTGGTGTAATGGTGTGGGGGATGTTTTCTTGGCACACTTTAGGGCCCTTAGTGGCAATTGGGCATCGTTTAAATGCCACGGCCTACCTGAGCATTGTTTCTGACCATGTCCATCCCTTTATGGCCACCATGTACCCATCCTCTGATGGCTACTTCCAGCAGGATAATGCACCATGTCACAAAACTCGAATCATTTCAAATTGGTTTCTTGAACATGACAATGAGTTCACTGTACTAAAATGGCCCCCACAGTCACCAGATCTCAGCCCAATAGAGCATCTTTGGGATGTGGTGGAACGGGAGCTTTGTGCCCTGGATGTGCATCCCACAAATCTCCATCAACTGCAAGATGCTATCCTATCAATATGGGCCAACATTTCTAAAGAATGCTTTCAGCACCTTGTTGAATCAATGCCACGTAGAATTAAGGCAGTTCTGAAGGCGAAAGGGGGTTAAACACCGTATTAGTATGCTGCCCTACAAAGCAAAAAGGCAGTAACTACGCAGAGTGCAGAACAGAGAAAAATGACTTTAAAGTTATTCTGTCATCCAGCCTAAGTAGTTGTAGGTAGATTATTGGACATGTGGCTGTTTTGTTACTTTATATTAGCTTATTCTTTGTACATATCAATCCTCATATTTAATTTGATATTTTACCCCTATTTTGCAGTTGCTGTATTCTTGCTTTGTATTACTTACCAAAAACGTGGCACCATACCAAGGTAAAAGGCAGTAACTACAGATTCTCCAAAAACAATTTTGCCACAACTTGGGCTCTGAGTCTGATACACTGTTTGAAATAATTGGAACCATTTGGACAACATTTTCAAAATTTTTGTGTTGCGAAACTAGTGTTGCGGAGCGGGCGTGTTACGGATATGTGGTGTAAATTTTTAGTAATCAAAAATCATGTCTAATTAATTGAAATCATGAAACTTTTATTATAAATTATTATTAAACTTATACAATATTTTAAAAACAAACATTTTTGGTCAAACAACATGCTGCACAATGAGCTTTACTGTTAAAATTAAAACATTGAAGAAAATTTTTGATTATTCCTTTAAAAATTAAGTTTTAATCTTAATTTATTTGTAGTGTTAGTATTATTATTACATTGAGACGTTTCTAAATTCTACTGTACAGCAGTAATATATTTCTTGTCAAGTTAAACCGAACTTTTATTTTGACGGGTTGCCGTGAAGACCGTGTCCTCATATAGGCAAAAAAAAAACAGCTCGAGCGTCACACACGTGCTTCAGGGCGCGTGTGTGTGTGTTAGTTTGGTAGGGGAACAATTAGGGCAAACACTGCATCTCAAACTAAATTTGTGT